AATCCTTTGGGATTTACGGGAGTCCTGGGTGGCAGGTGGCTGCAGCCGGGGCCAAATCGAGGGGAGGGCCATTCAAAGGGAGACCTGGTCCTTGTGATTAGTTTCTGCTGCCCGTGTTCCCTGTTGTCAATGCTAAGTGTCTGTCTGTTTTACCATCATGAACCGAAGCACAAAAAAGACGCATGAGACATTGTTGTCCTATGTCTGGTGTCACACTTTGGAGCAAAACCCTTTCAGTGGTAAATAAATACTTTCAAACTGGGTCATCTGCCTGGTGTTTTCTTTTTTCCTTAATATTTTAGACCTATAAAATGCAGGACAAATAATTGGGTTGACACTCATGAACCACTGCCAAGTTTTATGAAACTTGACAAGTACAGTCGAAGTCCCCCAGCCACCACCATCAGGAGACCACCATCCTGAATTTGGGGTTTCTCACCCCAAGCATTCTATCCTTTTATCCTTTACTACATGTATGTGAAAAATCTGAGCCCTATGGAGTATTTCTGTGTGTTTTAAACTTTATTAAAATTGTATCACACTCTTTTTTGCTCCACATTAAAATTTGAGCTTTATTCATGCAGATCTACATAGTTCATTTATTTTTAACGGCTGTATAGTATTCCATTGTATGGATATACCACAATCCCATTCTCCTAATGTACATTTAGATGTTTTCTTTTTGTTTGTTTGCTGTTAGAGGAAATGCTGCTATGAACATTCAAATATGCACGTCTGCTTGTGCACGTGGGCAAGTTTCTCAAAGATATCTACCTAGGAGTGAGTAGAATTGTGAGATCATATGGTGCTGTGTGTGTGTCCCCGTGTGTGTGTGTGCATGCATACCTTGATGGCCTCGCTTGAGCACTGAGTCAAAGGGGCTTCATACAAGCACTGGGGGTGCAAGCACCGGGCAAGGCATCTCGGGACCTTGACATCATTCTTGAGAAGAAAAGTTAGAAACTAGAGATTCCTCTTCACCCTAAAAATACTCCCATCACTGGCAGAGTCAGTGCAGCAGCCAGTGATCCCCTCTGCTCCAGATGGTGGGCAGGGACAAGGGGACTCCTGGGATCCTGGCACCGTAGGTCCTCTTGGTACCTACTGCAGCCCTGGCCTCTGGAGGAAGTAGGAAATCAGCCAGGGTACATGAAATTAAAATCAAAGATTCTTAGAAAGGATAAATGATCCACAAAGAAAGCTATGAAGTGGCTTCACTTTCTAAGTCTGTGCATATAATTCTTTATTTAATTTAATTTTTTTTTGGTGAGGAAGAGTAGCCCTGAGCTAACATCTGTTGCCAATCTTCCTCTTTTTGCTTGAGGAAGATTGGCCCTGAGCTAACACCTGTTGCCAATCTTCCTCTTTTTGCTTGAGGAAGATTGGCCCTGAGCTAACATCTGTGCCAGTCTTCCTCTATTTTGTATGTGGGACACCACCACAGCATAGCCTGATGAGCGGTATGTAGGTCCACGCCCAGGATCCCAACCTGCGAACCCTGGGCCACCAAAGCAGAGTGCGCGAACTTAACTACTACACCACCTGGCTGGCCCCAATTCCTTCATTTATATTATATATATATACATATTATATTTTAATGACAACCAGGATTTTTATTTTCATAATAAAACAGGAGAAGCGGGTCTTATCCCACGTAGCCAAATGTCCTGTAGACTGTGTTTTACAGATAACCATGGATGTGGCGCACCGGAGCCCAAAACTAATCCGTGAGAGCCTGGACTCACATAGCAGAAATGAAAGAGGGAAGACGAGTGCACTAATCGCTTTATCCAGACCTTTCCACTGAGCTGCCTTACACACACTTGGCGCCTGTGTAGAAAGTTGACTCCGGTCCAGAGCCCTGCATTTAGGAGCTGGGACCCTGAAACCCAGGGGGCTCGTCACTGGCCACCTCACGGCCCTGGGCAAGACACTTGCCTCCGGGCCTCAGATTCCACACCTGTAAAGTGAATTTGGACCAAATCATCACAAAGGCCCCTTCTAGCTTTAACATTTGTCATGCTGTGACCTAGACTGGCAACAATGTACTTTTCACACCCGTCCTTGGCCTCCATTCATGTGCGTAAAAGAGACTAAACCCACAGACTTGTGCCTGCCCTCGCTGCCCCATGCCTGGCGGTGCCCCCTGGCATCTTAGCAGTCCCCTCCTGGCAGCCACCCCTCCTCCAGACAATATGCACCGTCACCTGAGGCTCTGAGTCAGCCTTTCCTCATTTGCTTAATTGCTAATGGAGCCGGTGGTAATTTTCCACCCCAGAGCTGCCCTTTTTTTAGAAGCAGTTGGAAGCACTACCATTTCAGGAGCCTGGAACCCTAGCATCTGTTCTGTCTCCCTCCCAGGGCGGACGCCTGGCAAGGAGAGAGCCCTGGGATGTGGCTGCGCATGGATGTAGAGGGTGGGGCATTTTCTTGGTGACAGTGTTGGAAAGCTGCCCCGTGCTCTCCTCCTTCGTCCCCTGCAGGTGAGCCAGCACAGATGGTCCCTGGCAGGGACCTCAGCAGTTTTCCCAAGCCAGCGATGGAGGCAGGCGCCTACCTGGGGCAAGGGGGGAGGAAGCCAGTCTTGGGGCTGGAAGCCAGACATCACCATGGAAACGGGTCTAGTGGTGGCCACTGTGTGATCAGAGCTCCGTGGTGGCTCGTCTTCAGCCGGGTGTGGTCTCCTCTCAAAGTGGCCCAGGCTGGAGTGCGGCTGCCCATCTGAATTTCCCCATCTGAAAGCTCCTTCTAGGTGTTTCTGGGCAGCCTGTTTGCAAATGGGTGATGGCAGAAATCCTGTTTCAGAAACCCAGGGATTCAAACCAGGGAGAATCAAGGAGAAACCTGTTTTTCCTGCCCAAACAAACAAGCAAAACCTCTACACAGTCCCTTTTCCCTGTGAGCCAGGTGAGACAAGGTGTCGAAGCAGAAGGTGCCCTGAGCATCTCTCTCTGGGCTGAGACAGAAAAGGGGATCCCCATGCAGGCAGAGGCGTCCAAGCTGACTGTCGGTGTAGGTGTTGGTGGCTCTGAATTAAAAGTCACACATATCCCCTCACCCAGGAGAGCCCCAGGAATTCTGGGTGAAAGAAGGGATCCCCAACCCTTCCTAGCATCTGCCCTGTCCTGATCTAAGGCGCAACAGTAACAATAATGATGACAAGTAGTCAGCATGTGACAAACTAGTGCTCTGTGCTAAGCTCTGAAGACAGACCCGGATAAGCGACTTGTCCAAGATCTCACAGCTTGTAAGAGGCAGAGGGGGGATTTGAATGAGGTACAGCTCTAACCCCGAAGCCCGGGCTCTGACGTACAACCAGTGGCCAGCACCTGCACAAACAGATGCATAGGCAATAACCTCAAAATGCTATCTGGAACCACGGAACAGCCAGGCTGGAACGAGCTGGAACATCTCTCTTGCCTGGGGGACTTAGGCGTGCCTGACTGCCTTGGGTGGATGTTATCCAAGGGATGGAGCCAGCCTGCGTGGAGGGGAGCTCAAGGAAGCACCTTGGGCGACCTCCAGCTTTGTATAGAGAAGTGGCTGGGTCAAGGCCAGATGTAGCCAGGGGTCAGGTGCAGGGTCATCCTGATCAAATGAAGAACTCGAGACGGAGACAGGAGAAGTGCAAGAACTCAGGACTCCCGCTGCGAACAAGACAGCATTGCTGGGCTTGCAATTTTACCATTAAAGTCATTCATTCCTTCACCCCTTCAGTCAACAGTGATTAAGTGCCTACTATGTGATAGGAACTGCACACAGTGGGATTAAAAAGTCTCCACTTGTGCGCGTTACATTCTAGAAGGGGGAGACCAGACACAGAACGATCACACGCATACACACGCACGTACACACATTCACATAGGATACTTACACAGTTGCACACAGAGCTAAGTGCTGTGAAGTTCCGGGTTGAGCTCAGCTCGTCCTTTGAACCTTGGAGACGGAAGCTGGGGAGCAGCTGGGGAGAAAAGGTGTGGAAGGGAGTGGACTGGACCTACCCCCCTTACCACAGCCTCCAAGCCCAGCCTTGGGGAGACCAAACTCACGGCCAAGTGCAGATGGAGGATCTTTCGTTTCCTTGCTTCCCAGCGAAGCACTCCTCAGCACGTCCCAGACAGGGCTGCAAATGTGGGTGAAATCCGGATGGCCACAGGGGCAGTGGCTGACCCTGGTCCACCTGGGCTGGTTAGACATGGACAGCTACACCCTTCGCTCCTTCCTCCCCGACTCCCCTTCCTCTGGGGAAAGCAGAGAACCAGAACATTCCATGGGTACTTGGAGTGGCTTTCACAACACGAAACCTCTGAGTGACCAGCTGAGGCGGCCTCTGGGGTGAGAGGGACACAGGCTGGGAGGGAGATGGCGGGCACTAAGAAGGCGGAGGTGAGGAAAAGAGAAGCAGGGAGGCCTGAAAGGAAGCTGGACTGGAGGGTGCTGGGAGCAGGAGGGCTTAGCTTCTGGGGAGGAAGAATTAAAAACACTTCCCCAGGTCTTTAGTGAATCGATGCCCGTCTTCTTTCTGAAACAATTTGGGCAAATTATCACTTATCACCCACCCCCATAACAGCCACATCAGCCCCCTTAGCAAACTATGGGGGAAAGACCCCTCCCCAGGGACGGGGCCAGCAAGTGGAGAACCAAGCACGGCAGTTGGTGGGAAAAGCAGCACAACTACTTGTCCAGCACAGCTCTGTGCGCTTCCTCAGAGATGCCTGTGGGACAAATGCGCGTGGGGCCAGATCGGTTTATTTTGAACGGTTTCCGTTACACCTCCTTTTGGCCTGATGGGTGGGCGGGGCATCGAGGTTACCTGCTGGAAGTGGACTTGACTGAATGGGGACAAAGTGAGAGCAGCAGGAAGGGACGTGGAAGACCTCTTCTAGTTTCTTCCAACCTGGCAGGCTCCTAACTTGACGCCGGAGCCCTTGCGAGGGCACCCATCCTGAGTGGCCCTGAGCACAGGCCTGGGGTAGAGGCAAGGAGGCAGAGATTCGACCTTGGTGAGTAAATTTAAATGCTTTTATTAACAATCTTCTTACATTACAAGGATAATATGACAAAAGGAAAGTTTCTGCGTACATATTATGATAAACCAACATAGCTCTATCTGTATCCAGTGTCCCAGGTCCCACACAGGTACTATAAAGCGTAGTCTGCAAAGTAATAACATCAAGAGGTTGTTTTTTAAGAAAGAAAGTATTAACATATTAATATGCATGTGATAATAGACTCCTAAGTATTTCCCCCCACCCCCACTTTATTTTTCCTTTGTGATTGAAATGAGACGGTTCAGCAGCGTGGGGGTGGAGAGAAGGAGAGAGACAGGGGCTAAAAAACCCAGTCAGACTGCTGGCTCTTCCGGAGAGACAAAACTGAAGACTGAGGGGTGCCCGAGGGCAGCCCGGCCCTTGTCCTTTTGTGAGCAGTGTTGTAACCGGCTGTCCTCTGGACGGAGGGCCGGGTGTCCTTGATGCCCCATGGCGAGCTCTCTCTCTGAGGTACAGTGCATTGTGGGATTGCTACCCGGGGATGCCCATCCCCTAGCCACCCGCCGGGCCTGGTCTCCTTTGAGCCGGGCACTGGAGGGTGTCTGGAGACCCGGCGGGCAGCTAGCTGTGGCTCAAGGAGACCCAGGCCGGTGTGGAGGAGAGGCGGTGGGCATTGGCAGAACAGACCCGCCCCGGACTGTGGGTGTAGGGTGGGTCTGCTGGGGACTGAGGTCCGTTGGTAGGATGTGGGGGAGAGTAGGACAGGAGGTCAGAGGAGGCTCAGGGATGGGAGCTCAGTGCCTCTGGAGAGCCGGAAGGCAGAGGCTGGCCTGGAGGGCCGAGGGTGCGGCTACCCCGGCGTCTCCCATCGTCTGCAGCTCCCTGAGCCCCTCCTCGCCTGCCTACCTCCAGGGGAAAGAAACTGCGGAGAAACCTGGACGTGAAACGGGCTTCTGACTCTGTCAGGGCTGCACACGCCCTCCGTCGTGCTGCCAGCTGCACCAGCGCCCCCTCGGGCCCCAGACATCCCTGCCCGGCTTGCGGAGGGAGCAGGGACAGGCGGAGGAAGGCGCCCCCCACCCCCACAGCGGAAGTGGACAAGCTTGGGCGTCGGGCTCGGCCTCCGCCTCGAGTCACAGAATCAGAACAGTGTACATGAACTAAACCTGCCTGTTAGGGTGGCGGTGGGGTGAAGTGCAGGAGAGGGAAGCGCGTTGTCCTGAGTACAGCCAGCAGCAGCAGCTGTGCAAAGCGGGCCGGGCCGAAGCCCTGCTTCTGAACTGGAGTTGCCACTGAATTTGAGTGTGAGGATTTGTCTCTCCCCGCCTTCCCCGTTAGCTGATGCCCCGCGCCCGCTTCGCTTCTGCGCCCTGGCCGCCCGGGGCGGCGCGGTCAGCGAGGCCAGGACGGCTGCACTTCAGAGGTTCGCCTCCAGGGGGCGGCGGACGCACCGAGAGTGGGGACCGCGCGCGGTCCAGCTCGCACCTTTCCTATTGCCACCAATGCTGCTCATTCCCGGCGGGGGAGGGTATTTGGAGAAATTGTGCAGTGGTCTCTCCACCAGGGGGTCAGAGACCGTGTCCCACTGCCGAGCAGCAGTGACCGCTAAGCGTTGGCTTGTGGGGGGGATGTGGGGGGCACTTCAGCTGGAGCTCAGGGGGTGTCTCCTTCCAACCTCAGACCAGGCCTGCGGCAGAGGAGAGAAAGTGCGCGGAGAGGGCCGGGACGCACGTCCTCTCCTCTCCATCGCTCCGGGGCGGGCGGCCCCCATCCCAGCAAGCCCCGCCTGCTCAGCTCCCGTCCCCGCCCCGCACAGGCTCTGCCTCCTCCCTCTTCGCACGACACAGCGACAGGCTTTCCCGTTACTGTCCCAGCTCTCTATAGACTCTGTTTTTATATCTATTTAAAACATAGAAATGTATAAATATATAGGATATTATTTATAGATATATAGACGTGATTTCTCTCTTACTCTGTGTGTATACGTACTGTCTATGTCCATATATACAATATAGATGCTGTAGCGTCTCTATTATACACTGCACATACCCCTGCTTCCACGCAGTCTCCTAGGAGTCGGGATTGCATAGGTATTTCCAGGGCGATACCACTCAAAGGGATGGGAAGGGGGGAGCCAGATGGAAGAGGAGGGTCGTACCATTTTCCTCCCAAAAGGGCACTTTTTCTCCTTCTGGCTAACACACGAAGATCGCCTCAAAGGCCCCTGAAAACATCACAGCTCCATCCACCCAGCTAACGCACCCTGTCAACAGAGACCAAGAGAGGGCCTCCCTGCAGGCCGGAGAAGGGCCCTGCACATCTCTTGACACAGTCTCCCCGCCTCAAGATGCAGGAGGAAACCGGACCAGAGCCGTGACCCAGCACTGCCTCCCCAGGAGGCTGGCGTCCGGAATCGGGCTCTCCCAAGCACACCTGCCCTGCAAACACGCCTTTCTTGACCACTGGGCCTGGCCTCCCCTCCGGCTTCGGCTGTCCCAGGCTGGCCTGGCTGGCCGGCTGCTCTAAGGGGCGGGGTCCAGTGTGACAGGCGCCTCCTGCCCAAACTGGGCGTGGGGACCTAAAAAAAGCACCAATTCTACTTGGAAATCAACCCGGACCGTAAGCCCGAACCAGCTCTAGACACGAAATTCCCATTCCTCGACGGGGTGGGAGGAAAAATGAAAGAGGAAGAGTCTAGAAGAGCAGTTGGCGTTCAGCCCCAGCCCACGTCCTGGACCCCGGGAGGCTCCAGGTGAACAGCCGGAAGGATGCCGGCCGCACAGCCCAGGGAGGGCCACGTCCAGAGCCCATTCCAGGCTCTCCGCGATCATGCTTAGCCTTCAACATGCTTTGCCTGTTTTCTCCTTCTTGGTGTCACTTCCAAACAAATGGAAAAGATTTCAGCATTACCTTAAACAATCACAAGGTCCTTCCTCCCAATGAGAGGGTGGATCCCAGCAAGTCAAGAAGAGGGAACCCAGCAAGACAACTCAACACGAAACCTGTAGTGGGGGCTGGGGCTGCTGCCCACCCGCCCTGGACTCGGGGCCCAGCACCCCCTGGCCACGCAGGGAGCCCGGAGCTCCAGATCACTCTCACGCTCAGGCGACAGTGAGGAGCTGCCCAGCATGACAGGATGTCACAGGCGTCATCAAAAATAGAAAGCTGGGGTCCAGAAGCCCGGACTCTCGCATTCAACCAGGCCGGCAAACCTTGGGGATTCTGACGCCGCAAGTGTTACAGATGAGGCTGGGCTGTCCTCAGGTGGTGCACACACTGGATGGCAATGGGGCTCTTTTTCCTCCATCGAGGAGAAGCAGACCATTGGGATGCCAAGGGCTCCTGGCTGCCAAGCTCTGCAGTGTGTCTGCTTGGCACAACTGGCCACAAATCTGATGTCACTTCCCACCCCTCCAGGAACGGAAGAAAGTCACTCGTCAGCCAGCCCGATCAGGACAAGTCTCAACCCCAGAGATGCAAACACGTCATCCTAAGCCAACGGTTGCCCCTCCGAAGCCAGGGGCTGGGTCTCCTCTGAAGCAACCACATTCAGGATGCAAGGAGCGCCCGGCCACGGCTTTTTATACCCATCAAAGGAAGCTTAGGCCAGCCCGGCCTGTGGTTCCCTGGGCTGGACCCCGAGGGTCTCATCACCCAAGGGTCCTTCTCAAGGTGGCAGAAGAGTGGAAACACCTCTGACAGAAGTCACGGGCCATCACAGGCACAATCACAGCCGAGAGGCACAGAGCCCCCGGGAGCATCAGGGTAGAGAAAAGACCCTGATTAAATTGCAGTGGTGTGTCACCCCAGTTGTTCCCTGCTTACGCCCTGTCCCAAGGCAAAAAGGCTCTCGGTGTGTCTGACACGACCCAGGCCTGGCTGAAGCCAGCAGAAGCCGTGAGCGCCCAGCGTTTGGAGGTGCTGTGCCCAACTTCAAGACCCTTCTCACCTAGGTGTGGAGCCTGTTGGCAGGGGACCACCCACAGCCACGTGCTGCTAGCAGCCACTCATGCTTCCAGCCCAGAGGCAGGTCACTACCTCCTAGCTCTCTCAGGAGATACAGGGACACACTCGCATTGGCTCAAAGCATTTTTTGTCCCCTCTGCATCAAAATTTGAGCTAATTTTGGCCACGGCCTCTTGCGAGCAAACAGTTGCAGCCCTGACGAAGCGCTCAGGCATCAACGATTCTCTCTTCCTGGTTTCCAAATGACTGGTCTAGGGGATGACCCCCGATGGAGTGGTGGGAGGAGCAGAGGGAGGAAGGAGGAGTAAGGCAACTGTTGGCGAGAACATAGAATCCCAACCCACTATTTCTGGCCCCCACCTTACCAGCCCTCTCCGCCCACAGCCCGTCCCAGCCTGTGCGATGTTCCCAGAAAGCTCCCACAGACACAGTAGCTGGTGTGTGCGGTGGAGAGGAAGCCGGGGATGGACAGGCGGACGCCTGCGCTTTGCGACAGCATCCCACTTGACCACAGTTCCTGTTCCAAAAGTGGCGAGCCAGCGGGGAGCAGAGACACCAGCTTCAAGTGGGGAAGCGGAACAAGGCTGGGAATTTCAACACGTCACAAAGCGCTCTGGGTCTTTCCTCGCTAGTTCCTGCAAACTTTCTCCTTGTTCAGAGGCGGGTGGGGAAGTATGGGGGGGGGGGGGGGGGGGGGGCGAATGTCACCAGGCAGGGGTGCATTGATTTGTTGAAGAAGGCAGCATATGAGGCCTGGCAGTGGGACAGTCAGAGAAAACCAGTTTTTGTGTTTTTTGTTTTTTTTAACATGCTACATCACTGTTGGAAACAAACAAAAAAATTTCAAAAATAATATATAATATATATAATATATTTATATAATGAAAAGCTATTGACTAGCAGCAATGATTCTAAAGTTATCTTAGCACCAAGACCATGGGGGTGGGGGAGGGGATTTGTGGGGGGTGAAGGGACTGGCAGGACAGGAAGGGTGAGTGACATGTTCAGTGTTGATGACATTTCCACTATGGTTCTCAACGGTGGCATGAGGCCTCAGAGACAAGATAAACCAAGAAGGAAGGAAGCCACCACAGTTTTAGAATGTCTGAGCCAAGCAGGTTGGGGACACTGGGGCCTCGCCTGTGGCCAGATCACGTCATCCTTTGCCCACCCTCTGCCAGCCGAGAGGGGTGGCTCCCAGCATAACTGACCACGGACAGCGCACGTCTTCCTCCCTCCCCCCAGATGACCTGCATCCACGATACAGGATCTCTGCGTGTCAAATACGCATCAATCAGACGTGGAAATATGAACAGAAGTTCTTAACAGCTCACGCACATTTGTTTTTTAAAACTCCCTTGCGAGGTATACTGGTCGTTAAATGAATGAAAGAGTATTCATCAGACTCCTCCAGCTTAAACCACTACTTGCCCCAGGGAATAGGCAAGTGGCTATTTCTAAAGCTTATATTGTGGTTGTGTGTGTATGTGTGTGTGTGTGTGTGTGTGTGTAGGCTGATGCCTTGAGAGTCCTGTCTTACATCTCATTTCTGCCTGTTCTTTAGGACATCTCTACCCTGTTCAAAAAAGGAAGTGTTCACAGGCATGGACGCACGACTCAGTGTCCCCCTGCCTTCCCACCAGGCTGTGCTTTTTATCAGCCTGTTGCAAAAGAAGGACTCTCGTTGGAGTTACGTGTAACCCAGGACACAACTTGCATTGACTTCTCCTGCCACTGAACTATAGCAGGCGTTTCTTGATTATTAAAGGAAAACAAAAACACCCCCAACACATTACATGATTATAAAGACAGAGTATAAATAATTCATGTAAATTGAATATAGACTTTCTGTTTTTCTTGTTTTTAGCCAAAAACTGCCTCCCTATGGGGGTCTAAACTTCTTGGCTCTTCATTCCCACCCCACCCCCCAGCCCTGGATCTGAATGGAATTATATTATTTCATCCCACAGCATGTGAAAACAGGAATGCAGAAAGCTAACCCCCTCCCCTCCCCGGGATTTCAAGCTCGGTTGTAAGGCAATTTTGCCTTCAGTATAACAAGTAATACCTTTAGTATCCGGGGGCTGGAAGGAAGGAATCAATAACCCGGGGACGGGAGAGGTGACCGGGGAAGGGAGAGGTGGGGCGGGGGGGGGTCACAGTTTGACTGACACCTTGTTTCTGAGACAGTGAAGGAACGCTTGTCAGGAAATGAATAGAAATCTCTCAAGCTGAAGTCAGGTGGGAGAGGAAGCGAGTCAAGCCCCCAATCCATGCACACGACCCCATCCAAAACCACAGCTCTGACTCAGCTGGACCAGCGTGGCCACGAGGAGCCCGAAAAACCCCCATCAGAAAACCAAACAAGAAAAGAAAAGGGAAGAACATAAACCTCAAGCCCCGGAGGAAAATATAAACAAAAATTAGCTACCTAAAGGGCGACGACAGAGACCCGTCATTTTAGCTTATGCTGTTGGTTGACTGTCAGGTGGGGACACGTGTGACCCAGCACATGCTTCTGTGAGTGGAAATGAGTTGCCACATACGTTGCAGCTGCCAAATTTTGTAGACAAGAGTCAGTTTCCGACATTATTCCTTTCTGAAAGCTCCCAGTAGCTTCTGGTGGACATGTCACCGTGGTTTTTAAAAATTTTCAGTGTGGGTTTATATATATATATATATATATATATAATATAATATATATTTATATAATATATCAAAGCTTATGAGTATAGATTAAAAAAATATTCAACAGCTTAGTGAACTCTGTGATGCCAGTGCCCTAAATATCCGGGTAAAACTCGGACCCGTGGTCCACGGTCTGCGTTACCGGCTTCTGTTCCAGCGCAGACATCCTGCTGAGGACCTCGGCCGACAGTGTGTAGCTGTTGCCGGACTTCTCCTCGAACCAGCTGTCCAGGGCTCGCTTGGCATCAAAGTTGGCAATGGGCGGGCCGTTGACCGCGATGGTCAGCAGGTCGCTGAGCTGCTCCAGGGTGAGGCGGGAGCGGTGGTTTTTGCGAACCCGCTGCAGCGCATTCCGGCCCTTCTCGCAGCACGCAGTGGACGTGGGGAGCACTTTGAGGACCTGCATGATCTTGTTCAAGAGCGGAAACCTCTGTTTGTACTTGCAAATGTGGCCGATCAGGTCTTTGAAGCCATTTTTGGTATAGTAATCAGCCTTGAGTTCTCGCCACTCCATCAAGAGACTCCCGCGGGGGTCCAGCCCCTCCCGGCAGACATCCCGGGAGAAGGCTGGGATGGCCTCCAGGTGATCGAATATCTGGACCATATCCTCCTTGCCGTAGCTCAGGAGCTCCTCGCTGTTCCTCGGCCAGGAGGCCAGGTCGAACACCTGGCAGGCCTTCACAAAGATACGGCTGCGGGAATCGAACCTCTGAGCCAGGATCACCTGCGTCTTCTGGCAGATCTTCTCCCTGATGGACTGGAACTTGGCTTCGGCCACCCTGAGGTTCTTCATCGCGATCCCGTTGAAGCTTTCGCGGAAGTTCTCCTCGAACTCCTGCAGGTACTCCCCCGGGGAGTCGGCCAGCCGGCTGATCTCCTGGATGGCCTCCTCGATCTTGTCATCCACCTGCGACACCAGGAGGTACTCGCCCTGGAAGACGTAGGCCAGGCGCGAGAGCACGGCGGTCACGTCCAGGAGGAAGTAGATGAGCTTGATGGACTGGTAATCCATGAGGAATTGCAGCAGGGCCAGCGCGATGGCCGAGGCGTCCGCCCGCTGCGTCTGGCTGCTGACGTCCTTGAGGTGGGCCACCACCTCCAGGTAGTCCTTGATGAGGGCGTTGAGGACGTTCTGCTCCCCGATGATCCACCTCACGGCCCGGATGTCCCCCAGGAACTCCGTCTCCTCGCAGAGGGTGGAGGCGGTGGACCGCAGCTCGCACATGAGGCGCGGCGAGTAGCGGTAGAAACTCAGCAGCTGCTTCAGGTTGTTCTCCAGCTCCTCTAGGCAGGGGAGCTCCTTCCCGCTGATGGCGTCCAGGATTTCCAGGTGAGGCCGGTGCACCATGAAGGGCAGGCAGAGCAGCCAGGGCAGCGTCTTGCGGATAGTCATGAACATGCTGGCGCGCAGGCTGGCCGTGACGTTGGCCCCGTCTATGCCCAGGCCAACGGTCGGCTTCTCATCCTGCAACCGGATGCCCAAGGCAGAAAAGGCCCGGTCCAGGGCCTGGAGATAGCTCTCTGTGCTGGAGAAGCCCAGTTCCTGAAGGGACAGGAACTCCGTGGCTGGGGGCCCGTCGCTGCTGGTGTACTGGACGTAGACGGCCACCGTGTCGGCCAGCAGGTCATCGCTCTGCCCATCCAGGATGATGCTGAGGCAAGGTGACTGGCGGATGCGCTCCACCAGGTCTTCCCGCAGGGCGCGGGCGATGTGATGGATGAGGATTTGGCAGTCTCCCTCGTTCATGTACTGGTCCACCACCTTCAGCTCACACTTCCTCAGCAGCTCTGCCAGCGGCCGGAAGTCCAGGTAGGGCCGGCCCTCGAGGGCCAGGTGGTAGGCGGTGTTGAAGAGCAGGGTCATGTTGCGACACATTTCCTCCGTCTTCTCGGGGTGCATGCGCAGCTTGTACAGCTGCAGGCACTTCTTGTGCAGGTTGCTCTGGCTGTGCAGTTTGATGGTGTGGATCTTGAACTGCTTGGAGCCGATGATGAAGGCCGACGTGCGTGAGGACTGCACCGTGTACTGGCGGCAGACGTGACACCACATCTCGTTGAGGGTCGGGGAGTACCGCAGGAACCAGAACTTCTTCAGCCACTCCTGCTTAAAGCGCCGGATTCGCCGCCCGCTGGCCGACGACATCTTGGAGGGCTCGTCGGTCGCAGTCATCATATCGTTGGAGACGGATTCATCTGCCGAATCGACCTCCTGGTCATCGTCCTCCATGATGGCGGGGCCGGAGACCATGCTCTCTGAGGCTGGAAGACAAATGGGAAAGAAATATTTATTCCTGATGGAAAAAAACACAGACTTTTCAAAAAAAAAAAACAAAAAACAAAAAACAGGAAATACTGCCCCAAAGGTAGGTGCCACGCTATGTGAAACAGAAGCCAGTTCCTATGACAGACTGAATCCCAGCCTGGAATTTATTTATAAGCACTCAACAACAGCGTGTGGCTTTTCCTCTGTGGATTGTCCGTGGTGGGGACCATGCTCCAGGGGTCCTGCCCTCGCCCTCCGCTAGCTCCTCGAGGAGCTGCCAGGTCCCATGTCCACTGAACAGCCCACGGGGAGAGCAGATCCGATGGGGCAACAAGGCACACCCAACACGGAAAGTCACAGAGCGAGGATGTGGGACTCGTTTGTCCCACCACGAATGTCGTCAGGGGAGGTGGGCTCCCCTGGAACGGATGCAGCTCCGACACGGCCCAGGTTATTTCAAATGAGAATGTGGTCTAGCTAAGATGTGCGCCTTGAATATCTAAAACACCTCATTCTGAGCTCAGGGATGTGGCTAAAACAGCAAGTGCTATGCAAATACTCTAACTCAGGGGCTGGTGGGCCCTGAAAAACCTTCCTCATTGTCGAGCCACCCCGAAAGATCCACGTAGCCACAGCAAAGGGCAAAGGGATGCAGCTAAGTGCCCTGGTCCCCATCCCGAAACTCCAGCCCGGGGAGCTAAGACCATGTGTGGGGAGAGAAGAATGAGGCTGTTTTCCTGGACTGAGTTGGGGGAGCTCTCCCCAACCCGACACCCTGCTGGGGACTGGAGAAGAGAAAGATTGGGGTTGGAAGGTGGGCTTTGGGGGAAGACACCATCAGGACCACCAGAAAAGGCAACGGGTCAAGAACACAGCACACAGCTCTCCAGCAGCGGAACTTCCTTTATTGAGGAGGATACAGGAACAGACGGGAGCGCCCCCCCACCCCCGCCCGGAGCTGCCAACCCCCGGCAGAGGCACCTGAGGACGCGAGCCGCGGCCGGGGCCCACCTCCGCCTGCCACGCCTCAGGTCTCCCCGCGGATGGCTCCCCGCGAGGGCGCTCGGCCACCCTCCACTCTGCCCACCGACAGCAATAGCTCATCCACACCAACTTACCTGCCGGGTCTGAGAACTCGGGGACCTCCAGTACCTGTGCTGGCAGTATGGGGGCCTCCGGAAGCTTCCCAGACTTCAGCATGTCTAGTTCCGCCTGGAGTTCTCGCACCTTCTTCTTCAGGCGGATACAATTAGGGCAGAAGGAGGTGGTGGGGAGCTCGTGAGGGTCGGACGCGAGGGAGGCCTCGGCGGGGCTGTGGGCCTTGAACGACGAGCGCTCCTCCTCCTCGTCCTCCAGCGCGCCCGGCTCCTTGGAAGCCCCTTGGGAGAGCTCCCAGTCCCCCTCCCCCTGGGTCCGGCTGGCATTCTGCACGCCGTGCGACATGGTCATTGCACACCGGCTGTAGGCGTCGTCCTGGTACTTGGGCACTTTTCTGATGACCAGCGAGGTGCTCAGGGCCAGCTGGTGGGCTTCTACTTTAGCAGATTCCAACGAGGCCTCCAGCACATCCTTGAAAATGAGGTCAATTTTCTTCTTCTTGGCCTGGGGGTGCACGTCCCCCTCGTCGAAGCCACGCTTGTAGGGACTTTTGCCCTGTCTCAACACGGGGAGCGGGAGGGGACCCCTCAGGTCTTCTGGGTTATCCAGAGCCTGCTCAGACTTCTCCCTCGGCAACCTCTTCTCTCCTAGGAAGGAAAACCAGGTGTGAGGAAGAGGGGAAAAGCCCCGAAGTGGAGAAACCCACAGAAAACGCGGTACGGCTGCTGTGGGGAGGTCGTCTGACACATCCCTCTGGGTCTGGCTTTGGGGGGGCAGGTGTGATGACAAGTGAGAGGCGGATCCCTCAGTGGATCATGGGGTCTAGAGTCATAGGCCCCAAAAAAGTGGAAAGAACTCTTTTTAAAGAGGCCATTTCAGTGGAACTTTCTGGACACAAGCCCTACGTTTCTAAGTTGAGAGAATGCTACAGGGCGGGTCGTTGGAAGTCTTTTGAAGGGACTTGCCATCCAATCCTCTGAGAAGATGACATCCCACTGGATCAAACTGATCCAACCAGAGCTAAGGGGTGCATTCCCCCACCCGCCAGCCTTCCGCTCCAGTCCCAGCAATGACAAGGTGGCTGCTTCGACTTGGTAAAAGGTACACACAAAACGCGAGTTCCAGGCCTTCAGCTCCAGCGAGTCCAAACTACGGCAACTGTCCTTTCTGGTTCTCCCCGTACTCAGAAGGCCAGGACTATGTGACAAAGCATGACGGGAGCCTCTGTGTTGTCACTGAGGACCGAGGCTGGGGGACCTACCGTTGCTATGGGGCGTCAAGATCACAGCCTCAGAAAAGACACCACATGACCACATTGACCCAAAGCCTTCTCAGAATAGAGCTGGCTTCCCTCACCTGACAATGCAAAGGATGTTCTCTTTTCTATTTCTTTCTATCTCATGAATGACTTCAAAGACTTTGGTGAGCTCCCCAAATAAATTGTTCCAGCCTGATTCTTTACAATGGCCAAGACAGTTTCATAAATTGCTACAGAAGTGCCGATGCTACCCTTCTAAGGGGGCAGGTGCTAAGGGGGACCCTCGGAAGGTCGTGGCAGCAGCCTGTGGAGCTTGGAAATCTCTGAGGCTTCCCAGCTCAGAGGCGGGGCCCTGGGAGATGCAACTCTGAGCAATGACTTGACCTGAATATATGTCATCCTCAGGCTTCCGATAGCTGCAGTTGCTAAAGGCCTCTGAGAGAAGGCCCAGGGACCTCCACGGGCAACGCAGATGTCCCATGCTGTGACCAAGCCTCGGCTTCCCATGGCTGGCATGGGGTGCCGTGCCCTGGCCTGTGTGTGACTCCAGGTTTCCCACAGGTGACAGCACAAATGGGAGTAACCTCTTCCAAATGCCCCTTTTTTTCTGTGCTCACATGAATGCTTCAGGAACCGCCTTATTTCCAAGGCTCCTGAGAGTCAGGCGGCTCCCAGCATTTCTCTAACAGCTGAGGGACAGAAAGGGTGGGGCTGAAGAGAGCTCCCACAGAATGCTACATGTTTGTGTTACAGACCAGAGAGGACACTTGCCCCTTCAGCATCTCTAAACATCGAGGGCCACCTTCTCACTTTCTTGGGGACCAACCGAGCAGCAACAGCTGAGGATGTTGGAAGTTCAAGGCCACAAAGTGCCAGGGATTCCCCAGGCCTCTCTGCTCTAAGACAAGGTTGCTCAAATTTCCTAGGATGAGCGGGAGACCTCTTGGGATGCAAAGGCTTCCAGAAAAATCTATGGACCAAAAAAGACCTTTCAGCATTATGAAATTGACTCCAAAGCCTCCATAAACCAGAAGGGGAAACATCACACAGTAAATCCACGACGCAAAGTCGATCATGTAACATAAATTCTTTGAATACAGCATCAGATGCAGCCTGTTCTTAAAACATAACCATGAAGGAGTAATTTATACTCTCTTCAGGAAGCACCTCTGGGCTCCAACTCATGCCCCTACTTAATAAGGACTCATAACTCATGCTCTGCCTTTATGAAGGCCCCAGCCTCCAACTACAAAGAAACCTCCTTCCACGTAAGACCTGAAGTGACTGCGTACGGGGGCTCCCCCTTCCAGAGCAGGCGGCACCCCCATCTAGGACACCACTAACCTCATCCAGAGTCCGCCAAAGCTACAGGCTACAGAGACACACGTCTAGAGGCCACGGAGCTCACGACTGCTCCCAAGGGCTTTAGGACCAAGGCCACCCACTGCTCTGGCCCTGCCCCGCGGTGACTTTCAGCTTCCTTCCTGCTTCCTACTGCCCAGCCTAGCCAGGAACAGATACGCCTTCCTCCTGTATCTTCACACGTCTCCGTGTATCTCGTTTCAAGTCCCTCTGCCATGCCTCCTTTGAACCACTCCTAAAGGCTCGCTGCCTTCTCTGAGCATTCCCCTTAGGTCTCAAGGCTCTCGGAAGATAATGCAGCTTGAGGTGCTTTGGAGAAGGCACCGGGGAAAAAAAGGACATTACAAATCCAGAAGAATTCAAGATTACGGCCAAGGGATGGAACCTGTGTCCTCAGCTATGACTTCTCCTGATTTTCTTTTCTTCTCGTGGCATGATGCTTTTGGAGACCTCTTGGCTGTCTTCATTCATTTCTTCTTTTATCCATTCACCAAAGATTTATTCAGCACCTGCTCTGTATCAGACACTTTTACTTGAGGCATCTCCAGAGGCCAAATGGAAACCATTGCAATGTCATCACGGAAGCATGCCTTCCCAGGTGAAATCAGCATGTGCCCAACCCCCAGATCCGAAGAAGACAAGAGATGAGTACGTCTGTTGGGTCTCCTCTCACGGCCCATGCAATCTCCGGATACCTTTTACCAAGTCAGGCAGCAGCTGTGCACCCAGTGTCCACAACCTGCTTTGCTCTGTTTTGTTTTTAAAGATAGCTTGATTTCAATAGGTCCCTCCCACCCTCTCTTCATCGCCTCCACTCATAGTCCAAGTCAAGCTTTGTTTCCAGTGAGGAGTTGGTCAAGAGCACGATATGGCGGGGCTGGGGCACAGCCTTGGTTCTGGGACCAGACGGACTCTGGGGCTCTGGATGTTGGTTTTGATGCAGGAAGGTCCCACTGAAAGAAAGACCTGGACTCACCAGTTTGCCCTGGCTGCACTGAGGATGGCATAAAGAGGCAAAGGGCTAGGGGTTGGGGAGGATTTGAAACCGCTTTCAAATGTCTCAGTTAAATGGAGCCTGGATGGACACCCAGCCACCAGGCCACTAGCAAAACCTCAGGTCACCTCGCCACCTCCCTCCAACCTGCTCGTTCTAGTACATCGATCTTTCACAACACGCCATTAGGACTGCCAGTAATGGAGCAGGAGGAGGAAGAACGTAGCTCGTCTGGGTGTCCGTATAACACCGTAGGTTAGAGCGTAGACCCTGGCCTCACACAGATGGGGGTTAGAGAGCCAGCTTGGCCCTCGCAGCCCCGTGCCCCTGGATCATTCATCTGATGCTCAGTTTTGACATTTGTAAGATGGGGATAACGAGCCACGTGGGATCACAGTATTGAAAGCTTACAACTGAGGGCTGACAGTGATCGAGGCAGACATTGTTCTAAATGTGTTACGTCCGTCGCCCCGTCTAATTCTCAGAGTGCACTTAGGGGTGGGCACTGCCATTGTGGTGGTTACATGAGACACTGTGGAAAACCCGCTTGGCACGAATTAAGTGCCTAGTAAGTGTCACCTCTGATTGCTATTATTATCGAGGCACTGACAGTTTCTCATCTTCCCATCAATTTGAGTTGGGGCATCGGGATCCATTTTGACTAAATTTACACGCGTGGCTTCGCGGCCTCGTCTCCCTCCCTGAGACTCTGAACTGTCTGTAACGGGGTTTCTGAGACCGTTTCTGAGGGAGGAGAACAAAGCGGGGTGGCCACGGCCCGGCCCAGAGCTGTTGTTCAGACCTGGAGCATCGTTCCCCGAGCCCCTCTGGGTCCCCCCGCCTTGCTGGTGCGCCGTATTCCCCGTCGGCTTCCTAAGGCAGCTCCTAGAGGAGCATCTGGAGTGTGGACACTCACCTCGGGCCAGATTGCGGTGGATGGTCTCCTGGGACATGCTGTGCAGCCGCTTCATGTAGTCCTCACTGTACCAGACCCGCAGCCGCTCCCCGGGCCGGATGTCCCTGCAGGCCCGGAAGTAGATGCGCTCGCTGTGCTGGAAGGCCAGCAGGTTCTGCTCCCTCTCCTCCCGGGAGATGACCACGTACCTGGGGGCGAGGGGGAGAGGTGAGAACGCGCTGGCCACGCCCGGGGGGAGGGCCTGCCTGCCACGCCGGGCAGGGGCGGGTGGTCAGGAGTCCCAGCGCACGGACGTGTGCAGAAGTCGACAGGGCAGCTGCTCTGTCGAGGAAAGGAACGGTAGCGAGAGCCAGGCCCTCGTCTCAATGTCACTGTTTAGTGTGACCTCGAGTAAATCTCTGAACCTCCAGAATCTTTGTTTTCTGAGACTGGAAATGACCCCTGTCCTGCCTACCTCCCAGGCAAATAGAAAATTCAACGCCAGATATAAAGGCTATTGGAAAACTGAAGCATCATCTTGTATAGTCTTCCCTAACTTTGAACCATAGGAGTCCCCAGACCCCGGCAGGCCTCTGATAGTGCCAAGGCGGGTATTTGAACTGTGAGAAGGGTGCCCAAGAGATCAATTAATAGATGCTAAAGATCAAAGTCTTTAAAATACGGGGTCCAACAGGGACAGAGAAGGAAGGTAAATAAGAGGCCATGAAAAGTTGGCAGCCACTGGTTAATCTAAGTCATTTTAAGGTAAGGAAACCGAGGCTCAGAGAGGCTAAGTGACTTGCCCAAGGTCACACAGCTAATAAATAGGAGGCGAGATTTGAGGTCTGAGCGTTTCCCACTAGAACTCATGGCTCCTATGTTGGCACAGAAAGTACCACGACAGCGAGGCCCAGATAACCTCCAAGTTCCATCAAACCCTCAGAATCAGCCATTCTCCCTGAAATGACATCTACACCATCCAACCTGCCACCTCGCTCACCTCCAGAAGGGGAGATGACCCTTCCTCTGCAGAGGAGTGGGAGTGCGCAGATCAAAAGGGCAAGAGGAAATTATTCGGAGTTTCAGGTTCTGTGCTACACGAGTGTCTAGGAAATTTGCAGTCAAAAATAAACTTCTCCTTGTGCTGTGATTTGTCATAAAAGTCAGGGGAGAAGTCAGTCTCTCCCACTGACATAGCCCAAAGCATCGTATTGGGAGCCGTCAGAGGAAGCAATAACTCAGAGAAAAGATCCAAATGGTAACAGACAACGAAAAGTCTTCAGCATCACTAATACGAAAAGAATTCCAAAGTGGCACGTTATCTCATTGGCACAGATTTTTGTTAGTGATAATAGCTGTATTGGTAAAGGGGGGGAGAAAAAGGTCTCCCATACCAATGGTGGAGAATAAACTGCCAGAACGCTTTGAAAAGCAAATCGGCACAAACACTTGAACAAGTCTTTGCACACCCATGTTCACAGCAGCATGATCCATGACAGCCCAAAGGTGGAAGCGACCCAAGCGTCCATGGATGGATGGATGGACAAGCACACAGTGGTCTAGCCACACAACGGAATATTACTGAGCCTTAAAAAGGAAGGGAATTCTGACACCTGCTACAGCATGGATGAAGCGTGAAGACACACACTAAGTGAGATAAGCCAGTCACAAAACAAGAAGAACTGTACGATTCCACGCACACGAGGTCCTTGTGTGAAGAGTCAAGTTCATAGAGACAGAAAGTAGCATGGCATGGCCAGGGGCCGGGGGGCGGAGGGAAGGGAGGGTTAGTGTGGGACGGGTACAAAGTTTCCACTGGGGAAGATGAAAGGAGCTCTGGAGAAGGATGGCGGTGATGGTTTCGCAACAATGTGCGTGTACTTAATGCCACTGAAGTGTGCACTTAAAAATGGTTAAAATGGTAAATCTTGTTGTGTGTATTTTGCCACAATTTTTTAAAAGCTAAAAAAAAAAAAAGAAGATGTGAACCAAGCGAACAAAATCTGCTTCCCCCCCCACGCTGCCTGTAACATTGTTTATAACAGCACAAAAGCAAAAACACCTAAACGTCTAACGCTGGAGGCACGATTTCACAAGCCGTGGCATATTCGTACCATGGAATGTTACTCATCTGTGGAAAAGTGTTTGCGGAGACTGTTCCATGACACGGAAAATGGTCCTGAGATGAGCAGAGTGAGACCAATAGAACTGAACGCTATTTATACCGTAGTTCCGATCACGCTTTAAAAACAACCCTCGGCAAACTACTTGCAGGAAATACCCCAATGTTTTAACAGCAAGTGTCCCTGTTGGTGGGTCTACTTCTTTGTAATTTTCTGCATTTTCCAAGTTTCCCTAAATAAGCGATTATTATTGATATCTCCACTCCCACCCCCTAATCCACACATTGCCAGTTCCTGTACGGGGTGGCCGTCATGGCGGCCAGCAGCGTGGCGCATCTACATTCAAGGTGCCTGGTAGAACGCCTCTTGCCTCCATCCTGCTCCCTTCTGGACAGTCTCCTGTGCACTCTGTTCTACTCGGCCCTGGAGGAAGCGGTGACCTTACGAGGGGGACCACTCAAGTCCAGGGAACAATGTATTGTGGCACCAGGCTGTAGCAGAGACCCCGGCAGGCATAAGAACCGGGAGGATGGGAACGCACACACTAGCTTTGGCTGCGTCCCCCTGTTGTGGGGAGCGAGCCACAAGCTCCACCCTGTGGAGGCGGGACTTGTAAGATCTACAGCGCTCAGAGCCCAGAACTTACTTTTGTCCAGGATCTTAGCCCCAACGCACCTATGTACGTGTCAGCACCCAACGTGAGTGCTGGTCTCCCTGAGCTTGAAGACTATCTGATCTGCGTGACGCCCAGCCAGGATGTTATTAACGAAAAACTCGGAGGAAAGGAGAGGAGGACCCCTAGCCCAGAGAATTCTCTCCAAATTAACATTTCCCACTCTCAGCTCTCCGGTTGTGGGAGCCTGCCCTTTCTCTGTATCTGAGATTTCTTCTGAACGCGAGGAACATTTTCCAGTCCCCAGTGTAGCACGAGTCTGGGGTTTGACACCCAAAGTGAATAAAGCTCGTGGTTAGCACAGGATAGAACTGAGCTACATGCAAACTTTCCTACTTCCTCATACGGAAGGCAAACCATTCATTCATCTTTTTTCTCACAAGAACCGCTCGGATCACAGAATACGAGGGAAGGCTACCGTCCGCTCTTCCTTCGGCTTCTAAAGAGCCGTCGAGCTCTAGGCTGGAATGAGTTTCTCTGGCGCTCGACTTTGAGAGCAAAAGAGATGAGGAAGATTTATGCAAAAGAACAACGTCTAGAGTACGTCAGAGGTTTAGAAAGATTCAAGTCAGTTTCCCTTTCCACCCCCTGGTGTTTTCCTACCCAGCTAGCATCAACATTTAGGCAGAGAACCCCAAATCTTTGGATGGATCACAAAGTATCTTCAAAGACCGATCAAAATTTGTTCAGCATCTGGTTGCATTCGGTTGTTTGGAAACTTGGCATTTGAAACATGATATATATGGCAAGTCTCAGTGACTCAGAACAACCCAGTTCCCCGAGAAGATGTTTACGCTATAGCATTTTTGAGGTGAAACGATGTGGAGCCAGCTAAGTCCTGGCACCAAGTGCCTCGAATCAGGTCTGCCCCTTTGAAATACTTAGCAGCACCACCCAAAGGCTGGACCCGTTCCCAGAATCCTCCTGTCCCCACAGGGCAAGCCCTTTATGAAGGACCATGCCTGCCCCATCGCACGGCTGCCGGTGAGCGAGAGCCCTCCCTGGAACAGATGGCCGCCAGCGAGTGGCATCTTCTATTTGTTGAGTTTCGGTCACTACCTCCTTAGAGAGAAGACACAGAGTATATCAGAGGGGCTAGAAAATGCTAGCTCTCATTTGATAGCATTTCAAGTCAGACCCACGGAGTTGGGGACCTTGGAAGCACTCAAGGGGGCGGGAGTAGAGGTGGGGGCATGTTCTGAACTGAACCTTCCACGATGATAATGGATGGACGCAGCTGACTTTGGGTCCTGGATAGATAAGCGCTAAGACCATGCTTCTCAAGCCTCACCCACTGCATCTTATCAAGTGCACCATATTTTCTAGCTGTGCCAGTAAATGGCTATCAGTTCCAAGTCAAGAGAGAAAGTAACTCACGGGGCATCTATGTTGTCGGAGGAAACAGACAAAGGCCAGACTCAGATTCCCCTGCTCGGTGGGGATGGCTCCGATGGAAAGGAGGCTGTCCTGGAGGCAGAAATGGGAAAAGACTGGCCAAGAAGAGGCAGTTCTGTGTTTTCACATGCATTTAGGTCTCCAGGATGGGAGGGTCTTTGGATCAGGCACCCACCCACCAGGCGGTCACCCGGCCTCCAGCAGAACAACACCCAGCCAGTCCTTGGCACGGCTGGAGGCCCCAGACCCCTAGGAGGGACTTCCCTATCAAGCTGAAACTGGCTGCCCCTTCATTTCCATCCACTGGCCCCAGGTTCACCTTCCCGCGTTGACATGCTTTCCCCATCACCCGCGCGGAAGCCAAGAAAAACAAACTCAAGTCTTTTCGATTCAAAGTCGGTAAGTCCCTTCATCTCTCTATCTCCTTTGCTTCCAGTTTGAACGCCCCCACCCACCCCGCATCCCCAGGACCAAAGGGAGAGGCCAGCCAGTCCCTGCTTAGCACTTGACCTTGGTGGGGAAGACCTGGGGCCCCGTTTCCCAGCATCTTTGCATCTCCTGGAAATCGGGTAATCTTGATTTCCATGGCCATGTTTTTTGGCCAAGAATGGCAGAAGATGACCTGGATTCCAAGAGGTCAAAGGCAGGCTAGAACCTTCCAGAAACGCAAGGGGGTTTGGGGACATCCTGCCTGGGAGAGCGTCTCCCTGTCGCGGTGAACAAGCCAGGGCAATGCAGAGGGTGGACGGACCGCCGTGCTGAGGAGACGCCCCGCTGGAGCCAGAGGAAGCCGCTTCCTTGACTTTGGGAAGCCTCAGATCTCGATGGGCAGGGCCTTGCCTGTGACAGACAGACACCAGGGTCCATGGGGAGCTGTCCAAGAAAAGTTCACACCTCGGGGAGGGGTCCCTAAGATCCACTGGCAGATGGACGGCCCCTGCCCCTTCTGGTGTCTCCTGCCAGAGACAGTGATGTTCTTTCCAGGACCCCTAACTCCTTTCAGGGAACAAAAGCTATA